AAGTGCCCCCTATCTATATACTCTTATACTACTCACCATCCATCCTGAAATATTGAAAGCATTTGCGAGTATGAATAGCCAAACAGCGAACCTTTCCATAACACACGAAAAGCCTAATCTCACACGTGTGGAACGTGAAGCGTTAAACTTACTTAAGAAAGACGATAGCATTGTTATTAAAAAGAGTGACAAAGGTTCATGTTGTGTTAAGGAGTGCTCCATGTCTCTTTATATCAGAAACTCATAATTTTGTAAGCAACTCTACGAATAAAAGATACCCGATCCAGGAACATCTAACGCGTGAACTTTCGAATGTAATATATTTAATTTCATGCAAGAAATGTCCCAAACAATATGTAAGAGAAACTAAGAATAATTTACGAACTCGTTTTAATGCTCATAGGTCAGATATCAAATTAAAGAAAGACAAGCCTGTTTCTAATCATTTCAACCTTGACGACCATTTAAAAGACGATCTCACCCTAATCCCAATTGAGCGCATAGAAATTGACTTGCCCGAAGATGAAACTTCCAAATTCCATCAATCTAGGGAAGCCCATTGGATTGAGACATTGAATACAGCAAGACCTATAGGACTAAATATTCACCATAATGTAGGCATAGCGCCCTTTGTTGTCCGTTCAATACAACCAGCAACGAGCAAGCAAGATAGTTCATGCCCACTATAAGAACCTTCAAGAGAAATTCCTCCATGTCTATAAGCAGAAAATGATAGTTGCATATTCAAAAAATAAGAACTTAAATGATAATATTGTTCATAGTAAACTAAAAACAATCAGTACATAACAGATACTATATTTCTCGCCCATTGGCCGAGTTATTTATTCTAATTTCAGATCAGAATCAGGACAGAAGAAAACCCAATATCTAGACCCTTTATCCTAATTTCTAAATAAAGTGTCTGCTCCACCCTAGGCCTGTACATTTGGGAGAATCAAACCCTACCTTCCCCGAAATCCAAGATCCTCTTCACATGTATACCCATCTCAAATAAAATCTCAAAGAAAGCACACCAGAACCAGAATCAACAGCGCAACAATCTTACCACCACCCTACAAAGAAGAACTTCCAACCAGTTGATAATCTTCATTGGTCTCCAGAAACAGCAAAGAGTATTTATTTGTTTTGGATAAACCAGCTTCAAGCATCAAGTAAATCTTTAAACTAATTACTGGGGATAAAAATACTGAGGCCACCGCTAGGCCAAACTGTAGTAAACTTGAGCCGCAAAATTCTCACACCCCTCCAGCATTCAATCTTAGACCGTGGACTTAAGTTTATTCCGACACTGAAGATAGCCAAATTATTACTTGATACATGTAAAAATCTTTGTTAATTGTTGATTTTAATTATTAATTATAATGTTAAAGAAGTTTAAAGATCTTGCAATATTATTGAAAGAAAAAATTTTGATTTTTAAATTGGAATACTGTGTTTTGACTCTTTTATTCAAAGTCCACCCTGTTTCCATGGTAACAACAGCAATCTTATTGTGGTAATTCATTGAAGATCACATTGTTTTTGCAAACTTTCAAATGTGGCCTTTCAAAAAATCCATTGGTTTTGGGGTTTATGGTATTTTAAAATTTTAAAATTTGTATATGCTTCCCAGACTTTGATTGTTTTCTAAAATAAAGTGTATTCCTCAACTAAATATTACATAAAAAAACTGTAGTCTGAAAGGGTTAAACACTAGTCTTTTATCATAAAAGAACATACTGCAGCACGGAGACAACAAAGATACCGACACAATATTGTCTTTCCTAATCGGACGTAATCCATTTCTCAAAGATGAACCTCTGAGGAATGTTGAAACTGGTGTGACCGCTAAGGCAGAAGTAGATGTCCATCTAGCAGAAGCAGTTTGAAACAGAAACAAACAGTGGACAAGCTTAATTTTAAAAGAAGTTCCTAAGTAGTTACAAATTTAAACTTGACTACTGTCTCATCAATCCCAATGCTCACACCAACTTTCATAAAAATCCATTGAAAATTGTAGCTTGGGTTGTGCCCACAACAAAATTTTGATGCGAGTTTAACAAGTCAAGGGTAATAACTAAAAAAACCTTCATCAAAAAATCATCAAATGTGAACTTGAATCCCAATGCTTACACCAAGTTTCTTATATAATTGTGTGAATAAGCAAACGTTCATCGATGTTATATTCAAACATCTTGAGGAAAGTGGGTGTAAAACTGTTCATTAAGACAGAGATGCTGATTTTGATTGATTGTACAGTGCTCTATGATTTTCCCTACTGTCTTGATTGGTGATGATACTGACCTTCTCGTTCTCCTTTGCATACATGTTCAAATGGATGCACAAGATATTTTCTTCAAATCAGAAACAAAAACAACGTAAGCAGTAAAACTTTGGAGAAAACGTTTTGGGTACAGAAATATGTGAGATATTACCATTTTTGCATTCTATTACTGGTTGCCATACGTCATCAAGACATTTTGGCATTGAAGAGGGTTCTGGATTAAAGAAGTTAATATCTAGCATATATTTCCATGAACAAGCTAAGCATTTTGATGGTGCAGCAATAAAGTCAGATGTTATAACGAACATATACTGGTTGTCATTTACAATGGTCAAGAAACTGATAATCTAAATAGTCTACGAAATCAGAAATTTCGGACTAAGGTCAATACCAATATTCCATCCGTTATCGAGATACATTCCCTCCCTGCTACATCTTCAGCAGCCAAGTCTGTCAGTGTGTGAAGCTATCTTCGAAAACATGGCAATGGAAAACTAAAGACACGGAGATACAGAGTTGTAACTGTAGAAAGAATGGCCTCGAATCTTCGTCCATCTTCTTGTGGACATTGTGAAGGACCGAATTGTACAAACTCTTGATATTGGTGAATTAGAAACTGATTTTTGCATACAGTCTTCTATTA